GTGGGGGGGGGGGGTCAAGGCAGAGGACAAGGGGTCCATGCCTTTATTAGAGTCTGTGGGTTGAGTGCTTTGGGGTTCCCAGGCTAAGGCTGGATTTGGTCAATTCAAACCAAAAAGAGTGGGATTTCGGTAAGCTTCATGGCCCTGGGAGGCAGGGAGAATGAGCACCACAAGAACAGTTGGGGGAGTCCTGTCAGGAACTTACATTTCCTTGTGACTCTGCAGGCTGTTGGGCAGGGCACGTGCTAGTGGGAGGGGCTGCTATCAGTTAAAGGCCCCTGCAGGCCAGCTGACCACACAAATGGATGCTGAGGCAGCAATACTATGGAACCGTGTGGCAAAGATGCCCAGGGGACTCACGTGCACATTACAGTTTAAGAAACCCTGCCCTGACAGCCACTCCTAGTTGATCCCCCTCTGCCTAACTCTGTCACAACCACCCTCCCATGAGCATCAGAGAGGGTCCCAAAGTTGAGAGGGACATGCAGGCCGGTCTGGTGATTGGCTCACTGACCTCTCCCCAAGCCACAAAATAAAACTGGTGTCTGTCCTTGGAGCAGAGGCTCGAAGGAACCACGTCAGCTGAACAGACTCCCTTGCATTGCTCTTGCCAAGTCGATCAACAGGATTTGCGTTAATAAGGACGAGGTTGGGGGCTTGGCAGCAATCCCACCCCAGGGACAACTTTCCAACGATTTATTTCTTCAGGGTAAAGCCGCTGCGGAGAGTTGGAGTGATCAGGGGTTTGTGTTGCATTATGTTTTTATTTTTCCAGGAGGAGGAAGAAGGCCCTCCCTGTGTAGCATAGAGTCCTGTCTGTTCTCATGCTGTAAAGGATGTGCCCGCCCCTGCGTGGGCTTAGGCTGTCAAACCAACCCAGCCTGATGCAGAAGCCCAATGCGCTCTTTGAAAACACACACACGCGCACACACACACACACACACACACACACACGCATGCACGCACACACACGCACACGCACACACTTCAACTAATTGGTGGCACCCAACCATAACCAAGAAAAAAGGCAACAAACTCTCCATTTAAATTGCAGATTGTGACCTTTATGCTTGAACTCATTTCAAACATCCTGTTTATAGCTTTGGGGTTCTGGCAGTCAATAATCCTCCAAATTATTTTCCTCTGTTGGTTTTTTTTTGAATGGTTTTATTATGCATTGCATCCCCCCATTTCTGGGCCTCACCCCCAGCTCACGTCTCCTGAGAGGACAGGTAATTTGAAAAGGCCTGCGGCAGGACTTCACTTAAGAGTTGCCACTTTTTCTGTTCAGCGGGACCAGCTGTGGAAGCTGGTTTGCAATGCTTGGCCCCTCTACTCACAAGATAGAGGAAAGGAGGTTTAAAGAGGCTGGGGATGTATAGGATTGAAGGGGGGCAGGAAGAGAGACAAGGGCCTTTTCTCCAAGCTGTAAAACTCCTCTGCCCCAAATATCTTTAATGCATGGGTCTAGGCTAGTCAAGAGCTCGTAGATTCCAAAGGGAGATGTTAGTAGGTGTTACAAGGTACCTGGGTGAAACAGAGATGAAAAGATGCCTTCATGCGGGACTTCTCATGCTAAAGTGTATGGGGAACGAACTCTCTTTTGTGTGAGGTGGGGAGGCAGGTTTATTGTGCAGTTTCCCACATTTATTTCATCCAAATGCACCTATGTCCCTGGGTGGTCTCATGAAAAGTGGTCTGCAGCCCACTTGGGAGACGCTGCTTGTCGCCATGACTACTGCAACAGGTTTCTTATGAGCCAGCCTTGGGCATCCAGGACATCACTTCTGCCACATGCTATTGGTGGAGTGAGTCACTAAGGCCCGCCCAGATTCACAGGAGGAGAAACAGCCTCTGCCCTTCCATCTACCACCCAGCCCCAGGGGAGTTTCCCTCCATCAGAAAGAATGGAGAGAGCCCTGCTTCCCCACACCCCGCCAGGCCCAGGAGTTGGAGTGGACAGCGTTAGTCATTTCTGCGGTCCCACTCTCCTCTCCTCTTTCTTCTAGAAACAAACCCCTCTTTCCTGAGCAAACACAGATACTTAGAATTGGCCTGTTGTGGGTAATAGCGCGTTCGATTCCTGTCTGACGCTGATGCCCGAAGCACAAAAAGTGATTGATCACAGTGATAAGACTGATGAGTAATTCCAGCAAAAATAAATAACAAATAATAATAAGAATGAGTAAGTGTTGTGTGCTTACTGAGAGCCAGGCCCTGTGCTGAGCAGTCTCTATTCATCTACGCTGTCCTCACTACAATGGTAGGAAGTGGCAGCCAGGATTCATCCCATTTTACAGATGAGTCACTTGCTGATTCATTTGCTACGACCTGAGTCATCGGCTGCATGGCTAATGAGTAACTCAGAGATTCCTGGCCAGGTCTGTCTTCCTTCAGGAAACGCTCTACATAGGACTGGATGGATGAAGGAAAAAGCAGCCGGTATCCATGATGGCTACCATTTATTTATGGAATATACTCTGTATGCCAGGCTCCTGGGTTTCTACTTATTGAGTGCTTTCTGCACGCCGGGCTCTGTTCTAAGCACTGGACTGACTCATTTTAACCCTCACAGCAACCCCCTCATGTAGGAATTGTTATCAGGCGAGGAAACCAAGGCCCAGCACTGTTAACCTGTCCTGTGCCATGTAGCTTGTTGGTGACAGAGTCGGGATTTGAACCCAGGACTCCGAGTCCAGGGCCTGTGCGCTTACCCACACTGCTGCCTTTTCTCCATCGCGGATGGCAACAACAGCTTGGACCAAAAGGCCGGATCACAACTGGATTCAGCTCTTCCTGAACCTTCAAAAGCTGGGATGTCCTTCAGCAAATGTCCCTGCCTCCCACCTTGGTTTGGAGGTCACGTACCTTTTCAGCAACCCTTGACCTCCTTGGACCAGTCCCTGCATGCATCAAAGCATTCGGGCAGGAAGAGGAAAACTACAGCCGGGCCGGAAGCCCGGACTCAGGGGTCCTGCTTGCCAGGCCCGTCTGACCACCGCTCTGACACCGGAGGAGCCGAGACATTTTACTCAAGGATCTCGGAAAGCCCATCCCGCATTCCCCAAATTCTCCAGTGCCTGGGCTGTGAAGAATTTCCGTCTGAACTTGGCAGGCGGGAGGACTGTGGTCTGGCCGCTCCCTCTGGAAGGTACTGTGCAGCCCTGGCAGCCCAGAGTGAGTTTCCTCCCTGAACTCCCTGCTAAGAATAACCCACCAGCCACCTCCCACCCTCCTCGGAGGCCTCCTCTGCTCGCAGAGAAAGTAGACGGTGAGCCCCGAGCCCTGCCATTTGAACCTAGTTTGCGTAGTTCCAGGACATACTACACTCTCTGGCTTCCTCGGGGAAACCACCCATGCCCAGGGCATTCCTGGAGGTCGGAGCTGTTTCCCATCAGGACTGAGCAGACCCTCAGCCCCCCACCCGCCCCCCCCTCATGGGAGGAGCTGCCAGTGCCCTGCCAGAGTGATGTTGTCCCCAGGGAACACTGGGCAAGATCTGGAGACGTTCTTGGTTGTCACAACTGGGGGGGATGATTGCAGCATCGACAACCTACAATGCACAGGGACTCCCCCTCCACCCATCCCCACATGGGCACAGCGCCGCTGTGGAGAAACCCTGGTCCAAGTCAACCTCACAGCATGAGCTGGGCACAGCACATTCATTAGTGCCTTTCCATCTCATTCACTGCCCACGTGTCAACCTGGTACAGTGATCCTGGGAGGTATCTATGAGGAAAAAATTATTAATAAACATGGGGTGATGAAAAAGAGGTACTGGGCTAGTGCTCTCTGACAGAAATACAATGCCGGCCACAAATGCAATTTTTATTTTTGTTAATTCTCACCCAAGGATAATTTTCCAGTGGAAGGGAAGAAGGGGGGGGGGGGAGAGAAAAATCGATGTGAGAGAGACACATCAATTGGTTGCCTCCCACATGCGCCCTGACTGAGACGGGGGACTGAACCTGCAACCCAGGTACGTGCCCTTGACTGGAAGTTGAACCCACAATCCTGAGACACACCAGCCAGGGCCACATGCAATTTTAAACTTTCTCAAGCAGCCACGTGAAGAAAGGAAAAGGAAACAGGTGAGATACTCTTTTAAATATTTTATTTAACCCAACCTCTCAAAGATAGTATCATTTTAATATAAAAACAATATAAAATATTACTGAGATTTTAAAAAATACTTCCACTAAGTCTGCAACATCTGACCTGAATGTTATCTTGCAGACCATCTCCATGTGAATTTTCTATGTTTCCAGTGTTCACATGTAGACAAATGTGGCTCCTGGCTCTTGAGCTAGACAACACGAATGCTAGACTAAGACCTTGCCGCTCACAGATGCTTGGAGACGCACAAGTCAAGCCAAGAAAGAAAAAAGATGAGGAGAAACAGGAAGAATGGAGGAAGGGAAAGGAATCTTTCGGAACATCCAAGCAGGACTAACATCTCCTAAAAAGGTCTGCAGCGCTGTTCTCTGCCTCTGGCCACTGGCAGCCCGGAGACAGCATCTGGACCCTATCTCTTCTCCAGGTTCCCCCTGCTCCCAGCCACCAGCAGGAAGAGGCTTGGGGGGGGAGGGGTGATGCTGACCGCCTAGCCTAGGGTGCTTGTTCTCCGCCTGCTGCCTACAGTGGGGACCCAAGGCCCCCGGGGAGGGCCACAGCCCCCCTCATCAAATCAAAGAGACTGTTTGCATAAGCCTCATCCAAGGCTGGCTCTTGCAATGTTTTTAAATCACCTTTGGCTTAGGGAGGTGGACTGCCTGCTCGTTTCATCCAGCGAAGAGATAAAGCCCATTTCCACAGCTAATACAAGGGAGCATTCGGAGAGTGCTGACTCCATTAGGGACCAAAGTGGTTTCCGAGTGTCCTCAGCTGAAACCAGGTGACAATACGGCTCAGGGCCCGTGGGGTTGGCCCCGGGATCAGTGCTCGGATTCCCAAGGCTGACTGCGGAGGCAGAGCAGCCCTGTTAGACCATCCATGGAGTAACTAAGGGCCCACACATGGGGTCAGGCTCTCTGGGTCCAAGGCCCAGCTCTGCCACCTGCCATCTGACAATGGGCAAGCAATTTTATTCCTCTGATCCCTTCCTCAACCATAAGATGGATTGATCATTGCTATTCCCTCTGGATAATCTGCCCCCAGATGTCTCCTTGACTCTCTCACCTTTCTCGAGGTTTTGTTCAAATGCTATCTCCCGGAGACCTTTCCTCCCCACCTTGCTAGAAACTGCAACTCCACCCCTTGACTCTCCAACTCCTTTCCTGGCTTTTGTTTATTTTTTCCATAACATTTATTAAGAATATATCATGGATTTTTACATTTTGTTTATCTTCTCTCCCCAGTAGAATCTCAGCTCCAAGATCTGGGTTTTATCTGTTTTTTTTGTTATTGTTGTTGTTGTTTTCACTGCTGTATTCCCGGCACCTAGAATAATGCCTTGAATGAGTTGGATGCTCAATCAACATTTGTTGAAATACCTCAATTAAGTAAGTCCTAACAGTGCCTGGCACACAGTAGTTCATTATTCCTACTCAGACGTTGGTCACAAAGCAGATAAGTGCCACATGATTCCTACTTTCACTTTATTAGTTCACCTAAAATATTTATTGTGCATATACTGTGTACCAGGCAGTGTGTGAGGCTCTGCTAAGGTTGGGATGGGCAAAAGGGACTCATAGACCAACAGAGGAATTTAATAGCACTTCCCTCAGAAGTGGCTGGGGGATTGAATGAACTCATGCCTGGAAAATGCTTTGCACAATCCAGGAACAGTGTTTGCGTTAGTCAGCTTTTGCTATGATAAGGCTGTGTGACAAACACGCCCCCAAACATCACGAGCTCCAACGAAGTTATTTCTAAGTTGCATGTCTAATGGTTAGTTGGGTCAGAATTGGGATGCTCCATGTGTCTTCTCATTTGGGGCCCAGGGTAAAGGGTCAGCTCCTATCTGGGCATGCTGTTCTCTGGGGAAGCACAAGAAATGGCAGAAACTAGCCATGCCTGAAGGTCACTGTCTGATGCATCATCACTTCTGCCCACATTCCATTGGCCAAAGCAATCCACATGGTCAAGCTCCATGTCCATGGGGTGAGGAAATCCACTCTCCTCACTGACCACAGAGAGGAGAGTAAATATTTGCTGAGTGATAGTACAAAACATATAATTATCAAAAAGGTCTTTATTATTATGAGGGAGAAAAATGTTTCTTCCGTAAAACCCAATACAGGTGGTGGTCAGCAGTTATACATTATCCCAGCCACCTAGTCGGTGACGGAGGTGGAGGTTGGAAACCCACTGGCATTTGTATGAAGCAGAGAGAGTGAGCGTGAGTTTGAAATCGAAGGGGACGTGACTGGGCTCTCCTCCACACGGTCTCTCATGGTCTAGCAGACTAGCCTGGGCTGGTTCTCACAGCGTCTGGGCAAGATTCTAAAACGCAGCAGAAGCATCCTAGTCCTCTTGACCCATGAGCTTGGAACCGTCACAGTTACTTCTACCGGATTCTAGGGGCCAAAACAAGTGACAGGACCAGCCCAGATTCAAGGGCCTTAGGGAAACAGACTCCAATTTATTTATTGAATTATTGGGGTGACATGGTTAATAAAATCATATAGGTTTCAGATATACAATTCTATAATGCATCATCTGCCTATTGTATTGTGTGTTCACCACCCCAGGCAGACTCCACTTCTTAATGGGCGCAGCTGCAAGGCGCATTGGAAAAGGAGTGGACAGAGGGAAGGGGAGAGAATCGTGGCCATTTCTGCTTCTGTCTGTTATCTATAGCTCTGAAGTCAGGAGGTAGGAATGTCGTCCCCTTAGGCTCTGCCTGGGTAAGAGTCCCCAGCCAGCAAACATCCAAAAAAGGCCTTGCCTCTCTCTGAAGGTGTCCTTAGCCAGCCCCTCGGCTGCATTTGCATATTCTGATTGGTTCCCCTACTTATCATCTGTCCCAGCAGGAAGAGCCTTTCTTGTCACCAGCCCCCAGAGAATGATTAAAATCCCACACTATCGTCCAGACCTTAATATGAGGTTCCTGGAGGCAGAAACCTGACTTGCCCTAATTTTTCATAATTAATTCATCAAGATACCTAGTGTGGCTGCTGCTCCCTTCGGGGACTCTCTGGCTTTCCCCCAAGCCGCCCACTGAGTCCCTGCCCTCCTTGTCGCCTGGGGGAAGGGAGGCTATGTTTATGGAAGACCTACTGTGAGCCCAACCCCAAAGTGAGTTTTATGTGTGTGAATTCATTGCCTCTCTCTACAGCCCTGCCATGCAGATAGGATTCCCATGTTACAGATGAGCTGACTGAGGCCTAAGGACACCTGAGTTACATAGGGACCCATACCTGAGCAGATGCCAAAGAAAGTGTGGCTTGAAGCCAATGCAGGGTCCTTTCTCAGCGCAAGGCGGGCTGCCTCAGGTGATACGATGGCCACGGTTCTCTCTCCTACTGCCTGTCGCAGTGTCTGGACCCCTGCATTAGGCATTCCTTTCATCGGGTATTTCTTTTTCCATCACCTAGTATTAGTACCAGGCAAGGAGATTCTGTTAACATACAAATAATGTGGACCTACAATTAAAAACACGGGTTTCTGAACCTCCCTTCAGCCCTCTAACTGGCTCTTTAGGAACGAGGCCTAGGAATAAGCATGTTGCTGTTCTCCTTTCTGGATGATTTTGATATACAGCCCACTGACTGTGCGGAGAAAGACACCCACGCGGTTGTTGCTAAGTGACAGGACCACTCCGTATTTGTTGTGTCAATTATGGCTTTGTATTTGACAAAGAGAAGAGATCGCCACTGGGCACAGAGGAAAGTCTGGGGATTAGTCAACAGTGGGAGTCCCACTGTGAGTGGGGTTGTAGGACTGGACCCGGGTATCGGTACTGCTGGAGCCTTGTGCACCG